TACATCATAGGTTTTATGTGTTGCAGCTAAAAACTGGAAACAACACAAATATCCATAAAAAGTAAGATGGCTAAATACTGTAATATGGAATACTGATCAATAACAAATAGTAGGAAGCTTGAGACAACTTGGGATATTTTAAGAATAATTATGTTGAGATAAGAAATCAGAAATAGCATATATACAGATATGTGTGTGTGTAAATATATAGTTATTCCATTTATCTAAAACTCAAGAAAATGAAAACTAATAGTAATAGAAACAGTGACTACCTGGAGAAATTGGAAGTGGAGCAGTCGGGAGCTAAGGACACATAATTAAGGTACAAGATAGTAATACTTACTATCTTGATTGTAGCAATGGTTTCACGGGTGTATACCTTCCTCAAACAGCAAATTTTACAATTTAAATATGCATTTTATCATATTTTAATTGAACTTCAATGGGACTATTTTTAAAAGTGTCTCAGTTTGAATCATAAACTCTATGGTCACTCTACTTAACATATGTCAACATAAAGTATGTTATATTGAAATGCTGTTTCTTTTCCAGTGGCACCAAAAACAAAACTTGATGACTAGCAGGGGAAAAAAAGGAATTTCAAAAAGGGACAAAATCTCTGTAGTGGAGACATTCAAGTTGCCAGATTAAAACTAAGCTTATTTTGCCTCCCCTGGTGGTGCAGCGGTTGAGCACTGGGTTTCAAGGCTGCCCTCAGCCTCTGCAGAGCCAGTTCGATCCCCGGCCACCAGCAAGGGTTCCACAAAATAATAAATAAATAAATAAATAAATAAAAAATTCAAAAAAATAAAACTACGCTTATTTTAACCTCTCAATTTGTTTTTAACTACTAAATTGCCTTTAGTAGACAATTTAGAAGAACCTTCAAGATTATTCATGGCTGAAATCAAAATCATGGCTACCAAATCAACTCCATTTAATTTATTGACTTATAAACGAATATGACTATTCAGAAGTAATTTATTTTACTCTAATTGGTTGCTCGAAGTGTCAATAAAAACAAATTGACCATTACTGTGATGAAGCTTGTTGGGTCTATCTGCAGAGATAGACGTATTAAGACTGATATTCTTACTCTTATACATGCTCATGTACTTTGCATTACATTTGGGTTCTTCATTTCCCTGTCTGGAGAGAGTTAGAATAATTATTCTCTAAAACAGTTTCCAATTATGTGTCTGTGATTCTTTTATCCAAATCTACCTGTCTCATTTCTGCTCTAGTAAGGTGACTGTCTACTTTCATTTGTGTCTATTTTCCATAACTTTATTTTTGTCTAATCTTTTTTCTTCTCTTATCCTCTAACATTCTTTTCTGTTTTTGTATATTAATGACCTACACTTGAAAGGTTTTTTTATTGTAAATACACCATTCCATTTTTACTGCTAATTGAACCAACAGAATTGTCTACATAATTCTTAAAATAAAGCCTTGTCACTTAATGGAGCTTGAAAAAAATACAGCATGCTTTTTCCAAGGTGTGGGCCTTTTTGGGTTTTAGGAAATCAAATCCTCATGCCACCTGGTGTCTATTAAGGAAAATACAGCTAGAGACATTAAAATTATATTTTCACCAACACCAGAGAGTGGCCTATCCCAGCCTACTGAGATTATGTATGATTGATTCTAGTCACTGACACACTATCCATGAAGACAAGGGGCTCACTTGAACCTCACCACTGAGCAACCCTAGTATCAGCCCACACAGAGATTTGTTAGTCCTCATTCATATTCTCTAATTACCTAGTTCCTAGAAATAAAGCACATCCCTTATTTCCTTAATTTTCTAATCATTGATTTAAGATCAGAAATTTCTTAAACTAGAAGGGAAATCAAAAATAATCTAATGCAAACTTCTAGTGAAAATCAGCCAAGAAGTTGGGTTAGACTCATCAGAACACAGGTTCTTTCTTCCCAATAAAATGTTTCTGATATAATGTTCACCTTATATTATCTCATGAAGTTTAGGATTGACTAAGTAGAAAAGACATAGAAAATAAGAAACAGAAGTTAAAAAAATCATGAAATTTCTGAATGGATATGAAATACTTTTTATAGTTTTGGTTCATTCAAATAAAGATTACTGATATATGATTATTTCTAAGATGATTCAAACAAAAATAGGGTAGAGGCTATGTGTTAGTACTTAGTGTAACTTGACTGTGAGCTATGACATCAATTAGGAAAGAACCAGGCAGAGGAAGATCTGGAGCTAAAGAAGAGACTGATTATGGAGAGTGACAGGGCTCCACTAGTCAGAGTTGAAAAATATCATAAAATTTGTATTCTGTCAAATATATCTAAGGAATTACTGTTATTTGAAAAAGTAGTGCACCAGAAGTAGAGACAGCAATAACTACAGCAGGTTTCTACTAGAGAGTTGAATGGCAGCCACCTCCAATTCTAGGAGAGGGATTAATGGAAAGAAGTAGGATAGCATTGTGTTAGGTTTTTTATTTTATTGACCCAATAGATTTGAGCCCTAGATGCTAACTGTGGTACAGATGAAGGCAGTGATTTAAAAGTTCAGTGAAAGGCAATATACAGTGCTCTGGGCCAGGCTGGGCCACTCTGAGCACATGGGAGCTAGGGAACTTGCTCTCATTCCAAATTCTGGTTCTGTTTGTGCTAGAAATATCATATCTAACTTTCATATTATCGAGAAGCCTTCTTTTCTACTCTGTTTCCTTCATTTAACACTATTTCCTGAGTGCCTAACTCTGTGTTGAGCATGGCTGGCTTCTCACACAATAGTTTAAAATAAAATGTGTTTTCTGCCAACATGGAGTGGGAATTTCCTTGGGAACTAGGTACAGCTAAAACTAAAAGCCAGTATCTTAATTTTCTGATGGTAGATATGGCTGAAGAATAATGAATTAAATGTGTCAAGTTCATTATTTTTATAAATGACACTATAAAAACACAGTCAAATCCAATATCTTTACCATAATATTTAAAAGTAAAGTAGCTTTTTGGCCCATCACAGACTAAGTGATGAAGGGGAAAACATCACTTGTAGCAACATAGCCAGCAAAGAGCAAAGAAATTTCATCAAACAAATGAAACTGTGCCAAGAATGGCAGAGAAGCAGGCAGAACTGAAGCACCACAGGGTGCATTTTACCCAGAGCCTGATGCAAAATGGAGGCTCCTGAGGTCCTGTTTTGCTCTAAATATATGAATGCCTTACTTCACAGGATGTTGATTGGCTCCCAGCAGGCATTCCATCACAATTTATGGGTGAATGAATGAACAAGAGAATGTCAAGGATGCTTATCATGGACTACTGTGATAAGTTGAGCAGGCAACCAATGTAATTCTTTATCTGCTTTCACTAGCAATTGGCACCTAAGTATTTATTTTGTCACCATTTCCTTTTATTTTCCAAGCTGATCTTTACAAACTTTAGAAATTTTTAAAATTTCTTTTCACTTAAAATAGGTTGGGGAACTGTAGACTAGAGAGTTAATCAGGACTTTAAATTCTATTAAATCCACAGAGGCAGCTATCAGTCTACACCAGTCCATCTTGTTGACAATGCAACAGACTGAACTGCTCAAAATGACTGACAGCTCCATTTGCCAGGCAGCCATTCTGAGTGGCAGCTGTACTTGCACAATGTCCGTTTTGAGTGGCATCTCAACACCAAGAACACCTAGTTTGATTGAGAGCTTCACATACAAATAAGTGAAGCCAGGATATCTCTAAGAAACTGAAGAGAAGGTGTGGGAGAGATACATTCTTTGACTTTTGGTTCTTCTCTGCTCTTTTTTTCCGTGAACATTTCATTATTATTACTAAAAGAATATAAAACATGTACATGTAAAGTAGATAGCACTATTTCTCACAGCTCTGTTTCAAGTCAACTAGTTTTGTCTTGTGCCACATGAAAATGTTTGCACCCCTCTATATATTAAACACGATCATATTTGAGGATACATGTGTAAAATGGCCATATTGTACTGTTATCCACCCTCACAAAAACCACCTAATTTTCATGAGTGCTACCTAACTTACTATTTTAGCAAGCATCTTTGACTTAAGATTGAAGTTCACTGCAAAACACAAGAGGAGTCAGCAATAACAAATGTTTGCCTAAAATGAAAATTATTTACTGAACAATTAGCATGTGGCTAAGACAGTGTTAGGGACTAATTAAAAGAACACAGTGACTGGAAGAAGGACAGTATTCAGCAAGTCTATCCACAGGTGAATTATTGTGCTAAATTGTAAGCACTACTTGTTAAGGAAACTATGGTGTCAAACACATTCAGCCCACAACATTCAGCCAGGGCAGAGAAGACAGGCAATCACATCCTGTGTGGTTTTGAGGCAATACACTTGCAATGATTTAGTCAAAAATTATAAGCTTAACAGGAATGTAAGAGCTGGAATCAAATAACTAAAGGATTATCAATTAGGAAGAAAGAAGGCTTTTTTTTTAAAGAATAAGATAAAAAAAGAAAAGAAATAAACAAATGCCTGTGGTTAGCACTCAGTGAAAGGCAAAATTGAGCTAAATGTAAGAAAGGGTTTTCTAACAATTACAGCAAGTTAAGATGTAATGTTTTAGCACTAAAACACCATTAGGACTTAACCTGACAAAGATGTAGTTATTATTATTTTAATTATAACAATAGCTACTACCTATCTAATGGTCTTTGGGGCTCTTAAGGAAAAAAAAAAAAACAATATCAACTTGCAATATGGGTTGTGTTAGTTCTGCTAAGGGCTGCTATAAAACAATACTATATACTAGATGGCTTATAAAGAACAGACATTATTTCTCACAATTCTGGAGAGTGGTAAGTCCAAGATAAAGATGCTAGCTAGATTCAGTGTCTAGTGAAAACTTTCTGGTTCACAGGCAGTAATCTTCATATAGTGGATATGGGACAAGGAATATCTCTAAGGCCTCTTTTATTCTTCAAAAGAACACTGAATGTGTTCATGAGAGTGACAGTTAAACAGACACGACACTTGTCCAAAGAAGACATACAGATGGCTTGGGCACATGAAATGATCATCAGTTATCATTATGAAAATGCAAATCAAAACCACAATGAGATACCACCTTAAACCTGTAAGTACAGCCCATTTCAAAAAGACCAGAAACATCAAATGTTGGCAAGGATGAAGGGAAAAAGAAACCCTTATACATAGTTGGAGGGAATGTATACTGGTCCAGGCCCTGTGGCCAACAGTATGGAAGTTCCTCAACAGTACGGCAATCTACCACATGATCCAGTAATTCCATTCCCAAGAATACAAAATCACTAAATCCGATGGATATATGCATTCCTGTGTTCACTGCACTACATAGTAGTGCAGTGTTATGGAAACAACCTAAATTCCCATCAACAGAACAGTGGATCAAGAAGACGTGGTATATATACATAATGGAATACTCTTCAGCTCTAAAAAAAAAGATGAAATCTTGCCATTCGCAACATGGATGAAATTAGAGGAGATTATTCTAAATTAAATAAATTAGAGGTCCTCCCTGGTGGTGCAAGGAGTTAAGCACAGCACTATGAAGCTATCCTCAGTCTCTGTAGCACGAATTCTATCCCCAGCTGGCCAGGGAGCTACCCACATGGTGCAGCAGACCTCTCCTGTCTGGCCCGCTGCTCCCCCCAGCAGTATATTTCAGTTCAGTCTGTCTGTTCTGTTCCCACTATGTCTCTGCTGAATCTTCTCACCCCCTGCATCGCTGACCTTACCCCAGTTCTTGTATGCATAAATAAATAAATCTTTAAAAGTAAATAAATAAATTAGAAAGAGAAAGACAAATATCAGATGATTTCACTCATATGGAATATAGAGAAAGCAAGGCAAACAAACAAACAAAAAAAAAAAAACAGTAAAACTGACCAAACCAAACCAAAATAAACCCTAGAAACATGACTGCAAAATAGAGACATCTAGAAGCAGAGGGAAAGTAGGGATGGGAACAAAGGTGGAAACAGGCATAATGGTCTTCCATAAAGAACTACAGGCACTTGGATGGGAGGGCAAAGGGGAGCAACAAACATTTGAAAGGTGTAAAACCTATTCTCCTAAATCGTATGAAGTATTGTAAACCAATGCTACCTTAATAAAGGAAAGTAAAAAGGAAGAAATTAACCTGTCTTCAGAAACTCTAAGATAGTATCTTACAGTAGTTCCCACATTATAGTTATGTATTTTATTCAATTCCTCCATATGATGTCATAACTTTCTTAAGCAGTGAATGTATGAAAAAAGTGGGGGCCTCAGGCAGACACTGCACCACAAGTTCAACCCGCCCCCCATGGAGGTGACTCACATGGCACAGCAGACCTCTCCTGACTCACCTGCTGCTCCCCTAGGCAGTGTATTTCAGTCAATCTGCCTGTTCTGTGCCCCACTCTGTCTCAGGTGAAACCTCTCACCCCCACACCTCTTGCCTGTACCCCACTTCTTGTATGCATAAATAAATAAATCTTAAAAAAAAAGAGGTAAGTCATTTGTTGCTCAAGTTAGGAGTTCTCATAATTTCTTTCCATCACAATACTTAACATTTTGAATTTTAATCGGGGCGGGGGGCCAATGTTTGTCACTCCTTCCTAGAAGTCTCTGAGTACCTTCACAGTAAGTGGTCTTACTAATCTTTACATCATTTTTATATCCTGGCAAATAGACTCCACTAGTGCTGAATGAGAAGGATTCAGGTGTGAAACTGTTGGCAATGCTTTGTACTCAGACAGCAAATGGGTATAGATCGCCATCTAGTGGACAATATACAGCAATGCTATCAGAAAATGGAAGTCCTCTTAGGACGTAACATTTAATTTTTACCGAGCTGGATATACCCTAACAGCTGAAGAGAGAATATAATTGTTATTGCCCAACACTATAACAAATTTTATAGATTCTTTACCATACACTATTTTAAAATTTGGATTAAACACTAGTTTTTATGGACTAAATGAAACCAGGCTACACCCTCCAATGCATTCAAAAGCAAATATGTATATTGTCCCAATATACAAATATGTATATTGTCTCCCTTTCAAATATTGTCCCTCTTTTCAATATCATGTCTCTGCCCTGACTTTTATGTCAGTTATTACAGTTAGAGATCCAGTAGTGGACATACTGTCACCTACAGGCAGCTTTTACCTAGGTAAGCAGCCGCTACTATTCACATTTTCTAAATTTTAAAAATTTTTAAAAGACTGATCGCCTTTTGTTGAAATGACTTGGAACTGGAGTCTGTGCTTACATAGTTGTATACTCTTTGCATGTTGTTCCTGAAATCGAAAATAGGACAGTAGGGTCTTGGAAAGCATTTGCCAATAGTTGTAATGGTTTGAATTATCTTAGAAGTCATGTCCCATCATTGATCATCTATTTCACATTTATGCAAATATTCAAAACATCTTATTAGTAAGATATATTTTTACATTGCCCTTGTAAATAGAATATTTAACTAATAGAAATTTATTACATGGTCCCAGATTCTAGAAAGCTCTGGATCTATTGAACACTTGCTTTACTTAAAATATATATATTATAGGGCCTCCCCTGGTGGCACAGGTGGTTGAGCACAGTGCTGTGAAGGTGTCTGCAGCCTCTGCAGCTCCGGTTCAATCTCGAGCAGCCAGTGAGGGTCCCACATGGCGTGGCAGACCTCTCCCGTTGCGCCCGCTGCTCCTCTCAGCAGTGTATTTCATCAGTCTGCCTGTTCTGTTCCCCATTCTGTCTCTGGTGAATCCTCTCACCCTCCCACGCATCTGGCCTGTACCCCGGTTCTTGTATAAATAAATAAATAAATCTTTTAAAATGCATATATATTATAAAATGCTTCTAGTTCCAGCCATAGTAGAGTTTTACAACTTATCCCACCATTAATCGAATAGGGTAAAATATATAAAACAACTTTTTTCAAGTATTAAACAACATATCACAGGACTGTGATTCCTGAGGGGGAAAAAAAAAAAAACATGAAATAAGTTGCATATGCACACTGGCTTTCTGTCCTGGACGCATTCCAAGCTGGCACAGCAATAGAAACTATTCAGGATAAGACATAGAAAAGACTTTATAAAACAAGAAGGTATCAGTGAATTTTAGGAAAACTTCAAGTACCTTAATATATGTGTAATTGGAGTTCCCAAGAGAGAGAAAATATGTGAATAAATAATATCAAGATGATGAGGCCAAGATAAGGCCATTCTCATTCAGTACTAGGAATGACAAACCACTTATGTTTCAGTATTAGAAATAATGAACCACGTATTGAAAACTGGAGGAAAGGCACCCTTGTTGTAAAGTGGCAAATAACTTAACTGAAGAGTATTCATGTTCTAGTGTTTTGTGGAAGGTAGAACTTACAAGAGATGAAAATTGGATATTTAGCTGAAGTTATTTCTAAGCAACATTTAGAAATTTATGACTTAACTTTTTCTGACTGCTTATAGTAAAACACGAGAGAAAATGGCTTAAAGAGAGAATTGTTAAGAGAAAATCACTAGAACTTAAAGGCTGGAAAATCTGTGGCCTATCCTTATTGTAAAAAATGGGAAAGCATGTTCAGATGACAACAGGGTACCAAAAGACAGTTTGATAAGGAAATTAGCATGAATTTGTACCATGGACCTAATCAAGTGTCTCAGCAGAAGCCAGGTACTATACTTCTCAAACAAGGGGGTAATGACAGTTGAGACTACTCCCAGATTATCAGAGCTGCCTCTTCTGTATTGAAAGGGGAAAACAACACCTATCTTTCATGCCCACCTCTCTTGCTCCAACTGCTGTGGCAATACCTCCACTCAAAACCTTGGGAATGGGTGATTCAAACCTAAAGAGTCCCTGCCCAGCAAAGCTTTGGTACAAGATCTCCCTCCCTCAGTGGGCCTAGAAGGTGGACTATCCAATCCTGTAAGTCTAGAAAGAGGAAACTCTGTCCCAATGAGTTTGGTGGGCAAAGTATCAATTCAAAGTGGAATACTGAACCTTAATATCTCATAGTTTGCCTATAGTTTGGAATTACTTGGGACCTGTTATTCCTTATTCCTTTCCTAATTTTTCCTTTTGAATGAAAATGTCTATCTTTTATCTGTATCATGTTCTGGAAGAACACCGTTTGCTTTCACAGGTTCAGAACTGAAAACCATTTTTTCTCAGAATGAACTGAGTCTTACCACATCTGATCTAAATATGTGGGTGAGACCTAAGATTTTAGACTTCAGATTCAATATTAGATTAGTAAAGACTTTTGGACCAGTCAGGATGAAATTGATATATTTTTGCATGTGAGAAGAACTTTAATTTGGGAGGTCAGTGACTGAATGTGACTGAAAATTCATAAAATGAAGACATCCCCCAATGTGATGGTATTGGGGGAAAAGTCTTTGGAGAATTTTAGGTCATGATGATGCAGTAGTACTCATGAAGAGAACAAGTACCCTTATAAATGAGATCTTAGAGCGAGCCCTTACCCTCTCCCCACCATGTGAAAACAGACAAGAGAAAGCTATTTAGGAACCATGAAACAAGCTCTGACTAGACCAAGTTTGCTAGCATCTTGACTGTGAACGTCCCAATATCCCAAATTGGTAGAAATAAATTACTGTTGTTTATAAGCCATCCAGGTCTCTGTTATTCTGTTATAATAGTCTGAACAGACTAAGACAAATGACAATAAAATTACAATATTTAAGAGATACCAAAGCTGTAAGAAATCTCTAATGGACCCTCTCTATAAGATACATTGGAACAAGTCCTTCAATCAGAAGGAAAATAACACCATATGCAAATCTGAATGTTTACAAAGAAATGAAGGTCACCAGAAATTCTAAAAGTGTAGGTAAACATATGAAACTCTTACATTTTAAATTAGTTCTTAAATTTATGATACTTGAATTAAAAAAATAATTGAATGCTTAAAATAATCTCACAATGCACTGTGGGATTTATAATATATAAAGGATTGAAATTTTTGACATCAATAGCACAAAGTCAGGGATAGAAAACCGGAATTTGCAGCTTTCTATTGCAAGGTGCTTTTATTAGAAAGAATGGGGTAAAAAATGACTTGAAGGTAGATTGTGGTAAGTTAAAGATGTATTCTACAAATCTAAAGCATCTGCTAGAAGAGCAAAATGAAGAGTAATGGCTCATAAACTTCCAAGAAGCTAAAAGGTAATCATAAAAATTTTACAATGATTCTACTATGGTATAGAAAAAAGGAGAAAAGGAGCAAAGAACAGTTGAGGCAAGAAAGAAATAAGTAATAATAGATTAAGGTTTATGAAGTAATCACATAATCCACCATTTGCTTGAAAGACAGAGATTGTTATTTTAAATAAAAGGTCATGATCTAAATATATGCTGCCCATAAGAAACACACTTTAAATTTAAAGATGAAAACAGGTTAGAAGTAACAGGTAGGAAAATGACACACTATATCATACTAATCATAGAAGTCTGGAGTAGCTATATAAATGTCAGTCAGAGTAGATTTCAGTGCTAAGGATATTGCCAGTAGTAAATAAGTTGATTTCATAATGAATCAGGGATCGATTCATCAAGGAAACACAGCAGTACTCTAAATATTTATATATCTAAATTGCAGCTTGAAATTAACTGAACAAAAACGATACGACAGCCAAGACAAATTGTCAAATACACAATTTTCAATAACTGGTGAAACAAATAGGCAGAAAAGGATAAGGTCATAAAACACAGTAGTAATACGATCAATTAAATTGTCTTAATGATGCTTACAGAACTAGTCTACCCAAAAGATAGCAGGGGGAAACCAAGTTATCCCATATCTGAGATACAAAATAAGTCTCAATAAAATTAAAATGTCTAAGAGAGTAATAACTGAAACAAAACCACAGTAATGTGATGTCACAAATTGGCATTAGAATATGCCTACATAACAAACAAGAAATATCTCAAATTAACAACTTTAGATATTACTTTACGAAACTAGAAAAATAGGAGAAAATTGAATACAAATAAACAGGAACAAGGAAATAACAAAGAGTGGAAATCAAAGAAATAGAAAACAGAAAATTGAAAGAGATAATCAATTTAACTAAAAGCTGGTTCTCTTTTAAATCAATAAAATGGATGAATCTAGGCAGAATCATCAGAAAAAGGAAGAAAAAGAACATAGAAATTACCAATATCTAGAATGAAAGAGATTAGAAGTCTGCACATTTTTCAGATAGTAAGAGGTTATTAAAAGGATATTGTGACCAGGGTCATGTTGATACAAAAACATATGAAATGGATAAACTGCTTGAAAGACAATAACTACAAACACTTAAGAAGAAATTAAAAATCTGAAAAATTGTATATGAACTTTAGAAATTGTGTTTATAATAAGAATCTTTACATGGGAAGTTTTAAAAAGGAAAAAAGAAAAAGAAATTTTGCAGGGCCAGATGACTTCACTGTCAAATTCAAACACTTAAGAAGTAATGTCAACTTTTCAAACTCTTGCAGAAAATTGAACAGTAATAAAAACCTCTAAATTTACTATCGGAGGCATCATTACCTTGATACCAGAAAAAAAAATAAAGACTTTACAAAAAAGTAAAAAATATAGACCAATTTAATATACAAATATCATTAAGAAAATTTTAGCAAATCCATTGCAACTATATATATATGTATATATGTGGGTATACATATGTGTGTGTGTGTGGAGATATATATATATATATATATAGAGAGAGAGAGAGAGAGAGAGAGAGCAAGTACTCAAAAGTGAATGTAATTCACCATATATCTAACTGAAATTAAAAAGCATATGATTTTTACAACATACACAGAAAACACTTGGCACAATCCAGCATTCACGCCTGATTTTAAAATCTCAGCAAACTAGGACTAGAAGGAAACATTTTCAACTGATAATTGAAATCTACCAAAAAATAAACACTACAAGTCACATCATATAAAAAATTAAATGTTGAAAGCTTTCCACCTGAGATTATCAATAAGACATCAATTTACCTTACCTTATCAATTTTCAGCATTGCTCTGAAGGTTCCAGTTAGTACTGTATGAAAGAAAAGAAAAGGGATTCAGATTCAAAACAACAATATAAAGTTAAATTTCATTGTTTCCAGATGACAAGCTCATTTATGTAGAAAATCTGATGGAATTTACAATAAAGGTACTAGAAGCAATAATTGAATTTCTCAAGTTTTCAGAAGAAAGAATCAATATATAAAATCAATTTTATTTCTAAAATCTAGCAATAAACAACCAAAACATGAAATTAAAAAAAAAAACATTGCTATTATGCTATTATCAACTATACAAAATACATAAGGGTAAAACTGGCAAAAGATTAGTCAGACCTGTACTCTGAATACTACAAAAGCAGAGATAAGAGAAGTTACAAAAAACCTAAGTTAATACAGAGATATACCATGTTCATTACTTAGAAGACTAAAAATCTCCAGGTTATACCATATATTTTTCTAGATGATGACAAGTCTTGTAAAATTTGTGGAAAATTAAAAGATCTAGTCTAGGCAAAGCAGTTTTGAAAAAGAAAAGACAGGGGTCTCCCTGGTGGTGTAGGTGGTTGAGTGCAGCGCTGTGAAGCTATCTGTAGCCTCTGCAGTGCCCATTAGATCCCTGCCGGCAACCCACATGGTGCAGCAGACCTCTCCTGACTTGCCCACTGCTCCCCTCAGCAGTGTACTTTCATCAATCTGGCTGTTCTGTTTCCCCCTTTGTCTCTGGTGAATCCTCTCACCTCCTGTGCAACTGGCCTATACCCCAGTTCTTGTATGAATAGATAAATCTTTTAACCAAAAAAAAGACAATATTGGAGATTAAAAATTATTAAATTTTGACTTATTACAGAGACACTTACTAGCAATTTATGGTATTGACATAAAGACAGACAACTGGATCAAAAGATCAAGACAGAGTTCAAAAATAGACTCACATAAATGAACAAATGCTTTTAACATAAGTACAATAACAATTCAGTGGATAAGGGATAGTGCTGGAATTTAGATATTAATTCATAATAAACAAGAAGGTTCTACACATATCTCAATAAATATTAAAATTAAAATTAAATAAATATTAAATTAAATTAAACAGCTCTATGAAGTTACCCACAGCCACTGCAGCATAAGTTCAATTCTCAGCCAGGGAGGTGACCCACATGGCTCAGCAGACCTCTCCTGCCTCACCCACTGCTCCCCTCAGTAGTGTATTTCAGTCAGTGTGCCTGTTTTGTTCCCCCCTCTGTCTCTGGTGAATCCTCTCACCTCACCCCCCACACCTCTGGCCTGTACCCCAGTTCTTGTATGCATAAATAAATAAATCTTTAAAAAAAAAGGGAAAAAAGATAAATTGAACATTATTAGAATTAGAAAGGACAGTTAAAAACTTAGAGGACATATTTATAAAACATACATTGGGTTTAAGGCATTTATCCAGAGTGTAAGGTCAATATTTAATAGTAAGACAATTAAATATCCAATAACAAAAGGACAAAATTTAATCACAAACATTAGTAGAGAAAATATACAGATAATCACATGAAAAGATACACAGTATTATTTATTTTTAGGAAAATGTTCATCAAAACCACAATGGGATATCACTTATTAAACTGACAAAACTTAAAAAGATTGACCATAACAAGCGTTGAGGGCCAGGGGGAGTGCAGAAACAAAAATGTTTGTACATTGTTTTGGGGAATAAAAAATAACATAAGCACTTTTAAAAACAGTTTGGCAGTTTTATAAATTAAACATACATCTACCATATGATCAAGTCATTTCACTACAAAGTATTTACCCATAAGAAATGAAAACATATGTTCATATAAACACTTCCATGAATATTCATAGTTATTTTACTTGTAATACACAAAACCTGAAAACAACTCAAATATCCACCAACAGGTGAGTAAACAAATTATCTATACCTCAATAATACTACTTAGCAACAAACTGCTTATGTAAGTGAAAATCCGTACTTCTGATTTTTTAAATGTTTTGTAATTTCTGATAAGCACTTATTTTTTAATAATGGAACTGTTCTTTATCTTGACAAATGTATTGGCATTTGTCAAAATTATCAACTTTCATTAAATTATACACTTAAGAGCTGGAATTCGGGCCTTCTCTGGTGGCACAGTGGTTGAGCGCTGGGCTGCAAAGCTGCCCACAGCCTCTGCAGCGCTGGTTCCATCCCCAGATGCCGGTGAGGGTCCCACATGGCGTGTAGACCTCTCCTGCCTGCCCGCTGCTCCCCTCAGCAGTGTACTTCGTCAGTCTGCCTGTTCTGTTCCCTGCTCTGGCTCTGGTGAATTCTCTCACCCTCCTGCACTTCTGACGTACCCAGTGCTTGTATAAATAAATAAATAAATAAATAAACAAACAAACAAACAAACAAACAAATAAATAAATCTTTAAAAAAAAAAAAGCTGGGAATTTTACTGCATTTAAGTTATACATTTGAACAGACAGAAACAAACCAAAACAATCCCTTGAGATCCAACTACAGAACTGAGGCTTCCAGAAGAGGTGGGTTGGGAGAAGAGGTGGAGGGTGCACAATGGTCAAAGGTGCAGGATTAATGGAGATTTGGTACTAGGCAGGGTATGATAACATAGATATTTAAATATGTGAACCTGTACCCCTAAAACATACAAAGCTGTAAACTAAGGTGGTCTCAATAAACATAATTCAAAATAATTAGTCAGAGAAATAGTCAATAAGATACTGAAACACCTATGAGGGAACTGGCTTAACAATATGGAGACTGAAGAGTCCCAAGTAGGTCTAAGGACCAGGTGTTGGGGTAGGAGAGGAGGGGCAGGATGCAGTGGTGTACCCAGAGTCTAAAGGTCCAAGAACTAGGAGCTCTGATGTCTAGGATTAAGAGGGAAAAATGAAGAAGAGTAAATTTGCTTTCTGCTCCCTTTTGTTCCTTTTAGGCCCACAAGGCACTGGAGCATGACCATCCCCTTTCGTGAGGGAGGATCTTCCAAAATCAAATATTTATTCAAAGGTAATCTCTTCTGAAAACACCCTCACAAACACTCCCAGAAATAATGTTTTAGCAGCTATCTGGGCCTCACTTAGCTTTGTCAAGTTGACATATAAATTTAATCAGCACACCTTTATTTAAAGCATATACATACACACCTACATATACACAGATCATATATACACAAACATTATACTTAATATACATATGTAAAATTATTGCTGTTGATACTAATCTAGGGGTGGCCTCTAAAAATTTTGACTGGGGAGAGCCATGAAGGAACTTTTAAGAGTGAGGTAAATGTTTTTCATCTTTATTTGATGTTAATAACATGGATATATATATTTGTCAATACTCATTAAACTATACACTGACAATCTTAAAAAATCAAAATAAAAAACTTAAAATCAACTGTGATTTAAAGTACGCAGGGTGATAATTAGCCAATCATTAAATATTATATGCTTATATTAAATATAATTATATTTATATTATATTTATATTAAATATATTATATTAAATACATTATATTATATTAAATGTTTTCTACTAGTCAGTTGTGTTACACAAATGCACAGTAAGAAAAAAATCTTCCTAGAAGTCTAAAACAGAAGCATTGTTAAGCCAAAAAATGTCAGAAAACAGGGTTTAAGGCAGTAGAAACTATAAGATTAATAGCGTAAAATGACATTAAACAAGATATACTAGGAGATAAGTGAAACATTGTGCTTACAAAAGAGATGCTGAGAAGACCAATTGTGGGAGATAAATCTATAAAAGTAGATATGGGCTAATTTATAAAGGGTTTTGGATTTCAAGATACAAATCTTGTACCACTCATGCACAATATTGTTCTCCACCTAGTGTTTCTACTCAAATTCTTTTAGAGTATCTCTAATAAGATTGCTTGTCACTAATGTCATAGACAAATGAGGAGGAAAATAGATTTTATTAGTCTTGGATGGTAAGGGTAAGAAGTGACTTAAAGGTCAGCTCTTCTTTCAATATTACAGGATTTCAGAATTCCCTTGTTAAATATGTTCCCATCCTTCAAGACATGGGCAAACAGTAATATTTGTTACTAGAGAAGTTCGAGAAAGTTACTTAGAAATGAAAAGAATAGTTTTTAGAATCAGAAAGATAATTTTCTAGCTATGTGGTCTTGGAAAGTTACTGGTTCCTCTGTTCCTAAATTTTCTCAATTTAAAATAGGATAAATATTTGTAATATAGACTTGTTATGATACACTTTATAATGTAATATATACAAAACACAGGCACAGTAGTGAGCATGTGTGATAGTGAATGAGGAAGTTAGGCTGAGTACAGAAGTCAGGTAGGATCAGTACTGGCAGTCAGGTAGGGTCAAGGTGTTCCAAACCAGTGGAAATTCAATGTTCAGAAAACCCACACAGTGCCAAAAAAAAAAAAAAAAAAAAAAAAAAAAAAAAAAGCAACAGAACAAAATTCATTACGGGAAAACACAGCAAGCCTCAACCTATCAACAAGAGATGCCATCTTGCTTTTCTGCCTACTTTTGGTCTACCTTTATATTCTTTCCTCACCAAGACAAGAATCAAGAGGCCCTGGGGGTCCAGCTCCCAGACCCCAAGCTCAATTCAATAGCTGTTCAATAATCATTAGTGTCTCTCTTTGGTCTCAATGTCGACTAGTTTGGTTACAGACTGAGCATGAGTCTCTGAAGAGTAATAACTAAAAAATATTCTTATGCTTGAAAAAATTACAAATAGAAGTTTGACTCCCTTAAGATAAGCAGGCTGACCACCCACATAATTAATTTGAACAGAGAGCATGTCTGCTCTATAGAGAATGAGGCCACAAATTCAGAGTTCTTAGATTTGGAAATTGATTTTCTGGTTCCTTGTAATTATTAAGCATTCTTACTTCAAAATCTTCTTTTGGCATTAATGAATCAACACTCTTGAATCTTAGTTCTCTCTTACCCCTGTACAGCCTCCTTTGCCGATCCCATTTTCCCTTATGGCTACCTGTGTGTATAACTTTCACAGACCTTCATTCAGTTCAGGCCCAAGCAGGTATCACATTTCTACAGGGAGTGTCAGGAGCAAAGACCTGAAGGTGAAGATATGGAGATTGAGGGCCACTGTAGAAATGCACCCCTTTCAAATTCTACATAGTTACTTAAAATCAACAACCAACCAACCACTTCATCAAGGAATGAGCCCCTCCAGAAAAGAAGACAGTATCAGGGCAATCTCTGCACTTCTTTTTGCCAACTCTCTCTTCCTCTGCAGGGCATTAGCCCTCCTGCCTGCCTGTGACCTGTACCATTCCAGGGCCTCTCTTCACTGACCTCCCTCAGCAGAGGCAGCTCTCCTCAAGGCTGCCCACCTGCAAGCAGGCAGGCCTCTCTCTTAGCAAACCTGTCCCTTTTGGGGCAGCCCTTTCTGTCCCCTTGTGTCTATATAAGTGCCCTTTATTCTTGTCTCCCATTTATAACAAACCTGCCCTTTTGGATGTACGTAAGGTCTCTGTGTCACAGCGAAATTTGCCTGGGAAATCCGCTGTGTGCCGCTGAAGAGGGCGCTCTGGTGAAACTGTTGCCAGAGTGAACCCAAGGACCCCACTCTTAGAACACAACAACTCCAAAAGCAACAACACTCCCCCACCCAAGAAGGGCAGCCAAGTAGAATCAGACCTTAAAGGAGCAAGAAATCCTCTAAAAAAGTAGGACTCTGCACCCCAATGCCCACCATCTCTGCCTTTTAGTCTACCCAGGCTCCATTCTGCTGCTTGTTCCAAATGTCCAGATTCAAGAAGTCAGAGGTGGCATAGGAGACTCATGACTCTCTTACAGCTTCCTCCTACCCCACTTTGTTTACATATATTTGGAAAAGGAAAAGTAAAATTTGTATATTTATTAAAAGGATAAATCAGCAAATGGACCCAAACAACAACAAAACAGTTTAACAAAAGGTGATTCAATTGTGAAATGGGGGCAATGAGAAATGTAGCAGACCACCCAAGTCCTAAGCTTAAGCCATATCAGGAGGATAATTTAGGACTGTGGGAAAATTCCAGGCCAAAACAGAGGCCGGGTTCCTGTCAAAAAAAAAAGATGTATGTACCCTTTGTACCTGAAACATGGGATGTGGTGAAATGCTCTGCTGCTTGTAACAGCACAGTTTGGCTTCTGTACTTCCGCTTGGTGTGGCAACTGCAAACTCCCAGGTGTGGTTTTCTGCTTAAAAACCCTTATCACCCCTGCTCGGGGCTGCTCTCTACAAGAGGGACAGTCACCAGCCAGCTAAATAAAGGCTTTTTAAAAATCTGATTCAGACTTGGGTCTGTGTCTAGGGGGAGATTCTACAAAACAATGTTTAAAAAGCATACCAAAGAAGGGAACAAAGATTGTTCACTAAGATGGGACTTGGGAGTCTGGTGCTGGTAGTAACACAAATGGTCTGCATAGATAAATTAGGAATAATTCTGTGGCAACACTTTCATTTGAGAGAGAGAGACTTAGCATAGAGTCTCCTGCATATTATAAACATAATGTAAAACTTCCTAAGGACTCTTCCTCTTGTCTGAAGAGCAAGCTAACAAGACTCCATCTTGTATGTAGAAATCTACTTTATCTCAAAATGTAAACCAGTCTTTTCAGACTAAAAAAAAGATGTAACAATGGGCACCCACCTTTTGCATCCCCTCAGAAGGGAGGAGATTGGATCCTACACTGCCTTTCTATTTCATCAGCATACTTTTGAATAGGGACAATTAGGAACCAAGTCCTTCATTTAAGAGTAGTTACTTTTCTTGTTGCTGATGACTCACTGTTTCTGGCTATATATATTAGATTCTGACCTGTGTTTGACATAATTTTTATCACAGAGTAATTTCTGTTTGGATTCCTTCCCAGGTTCGAATCCTCACTTTGATTATCTAATAAACCTGTCTAACTATTCTTGAAACTTTATTTTTCAGTTAATGACATTAAGTTGGGACATACACATAGAGTCCTGTCTCTAGTACTTCCCTATCCTCCTGGTAGATTAATGAAAATAAAAAATCCCACAAACTTTATACCAAGAGATTTGATGGATTTCTGGGGTGGAGCCCAGGAGTTATCATTTTCCATAAGTAGATGACTTAAGGTCACACTAAAAATCAAATAGAAATTTAATTATTTTCTTTGAACAACAGATGGCAGTAAAGTCAAAAGAAAGATGGAATTTTTTCCTAGTCTTAGTAATCTTCAGGAAGCATCTTTGATCCATGACCTCTGCAGACATGCTTCTGAATATAAAGATCTTATTTTGAAAGGCTACCGACTAAAAATAATTCTTATTACATCGTTGAAATATTATTCTTTTATCTCATAATTTTTATTATTTTATTTTTTTTAATTTTAAAAGAAACTCTTAAAATGCATATTAATATATCATCCTCCTCTTACATGAAGGCTTTATTCTACCTGCCAGCCTCCTCAAAATTCATAAAATTATCTATCTATCTATCTATCTATCTATCTATCTATCTATCTATCTCCTTATGTTATGTGTTCAACAAATGGCTCATAAACTCATGCAGTGTGTTCTAGGAAACTGAAGGAAAAGAAATACATGGAATACAAATAGGTACAGAGATAAAACAGAGTCATTTGATAAGTGATGTAAATGGCAATAATGAATGGCATGATTCCAGTCTAACACTGGAGAATATAAGCTATTTTTCACTCTGAAGTGACCTGAGGGCTGAAGCCTAGATTACAAAAAGAGTAAGTTAAAGGATTTGCATAGAAATAGAAGGGAGGTGTAGTCCCTGCAGAGGAAGTCCCATTATGCAAAATCTTCCAAGTCAAGAGATAGCATGGTGACTTTGGAGGACCTCAAATAATTTGTAATGATTGGAGCAGACTTAAGATAGGATAGTTAATCTTTAGTTATAATGATAAGAAACCAAATGACAAGCTCTGGAATTTGGAAGTATCATAAAGGAAGTAGTTGGTGGGTGTCCAAAAGGCAATTAAAAATTCACATTAATTATATTATTTGGTCTTCATAAAATCACATAAGGTTGTCAGAAAAGAATATTAAGAATGAGTAAAAAAGAAACTATCCAAAACATTATGATTTTCTTCAAGATCACATAAATCTGGTAGAGGCAGACCTAGAAAGATAATTCAGACACCTGAATTATGTGCAGAGCTCTACCCAATGCATGGAGGAGTCTTACACTACAACAGTGCTTGGAACCAAAACTAAAACACCATGATAACCCACTGATCAACTGTTAGGGGGAAAGGATGTCCTGAGCTAATTCCGCACAGGCTTTGTGGACTCCACCCCCACTCCAAACCAAAGCCATCAAGACATTGGGAAAGATAAATCCCATCACCACCAAAGGGAAGGTTGCTGGGACCTGAGGGTAGAGTTAAGCAGCCAGGTTTGGTATAAAAACCAGACACGTGGGCCTTGGGGTCTCTCCTCTTGGCTTCACAGCTCGTGGCTCACAGCCAGCTCTCAGAGTGCCATTGGGATTCCAGGGCAGCAGAAAGGGTAGGACACATTTAAGACTTTATTTCCCTCTTTTTACCCTGAGTTGCACATTTCCTCATTTCCCCTTCCCTTGTAAATAAACCTTTTATTAACCTTTTGTGTGTGCCTGCAATAGAGTATTAATAAGTCCTTTTAAGCGCACAGGTGAGGACACACAGACAGGCAACCCGTATTATATGGGGCTGCCCTATAACACAACCACTTTGTATCAAATGATATTTTATATAAAGTATCTCTAACTGTAACAGGGTGGTCCCCAGGAAAGGGGGAGGTTCCCTGCCCCACCCAAGGGAGGGTGGAGCTGAGCAGGAAGAGGAGAAGCAGAGAGGAGACTGAGGAAGGAAGCAGGATGGAGCCAGGAGACCTGGAGGAGGCGCGTGGAGCCTAGAGACATGTGAAGAAACTGCGCTTGTTTTTTGGTCGTGGACTGGGTGACACAGATGTGGGTGAGACCCGTGGGGAGGTGACAATGGCAGCTTTTATCTTGATGTTGATTTTGCTCTTTTCCTTCAGGGCTTGTCTGGTTGTTTCTGACCCTTTTCTGTGGGTCCCCACTGGAAGGTGCTTTAGACTTGGGGCAGGCTTTGGGGCCTTGTTCTGGGCCGATCCCATATGGATGGACTTTTACCCACGAGGGGACGGGTAACTCTGGGTGCTTCATTTAGAAACAAGACTCTTTGACTTACCTGTGTTGTTTCCTAGTTTTATTAAAGTTCCTTCCCATTAAAGTCTCATGTTTTGTGTTGATGCAGCGGATGGCAGAACCCATTTAGAATAGGCAGGTTTGTGGGGTTTGGGCTGCCCCTCTCCCTGTCCTATAACATTACCACAGCGCACCACAGTTATTAAACCTGTCAAAAGGTAAGAACGTTGACAATGAAATTCTGGCAAGAGGAACAAATTTTAGAAATGGAAGATTTGGGGGAATATAAACTTCATTGGCTTTATATATTTCCTGTTCAGCTGAGTCAAGAGAAATAAAATAATCTCTGTTCTATCTTATTATTTGGATATTTTGTGTTTGTGAAAGTAGCATGTTTAGAAGGACTATATAAAAATGACAGAAAATTACATGTTTTTGTGTATTTAAAGTCTTCCTATACCCTGAATGACCTTATATTCATACTGAAGCATTTTCATTTCATCCTCCTAAATAGCTGATATGAAGTTCATATTAATATTCATACTTTAGAGATGAGGAAATTGAGATCTTAAGAGGTTAAGTGACTTGTACCTACACAGCTAATAAATGTCAGGCAGAGAAAGCAAATTGCAAGACAAAAAGCAAAATGATATTAAGTCTATTTATATGGGTAGCATATAAAAATAACAAGAGAAGATTTTCTATTTTTGTAATAATATTTTATCTGTTGATTACAAAAATAATGTGTGTTCATTATTAAAATTTGAAAAGGAAATGGACTTTTATGGCCCTAACAACAAATCTCTGGAATTATAATATAAAAGAAAATGTTCCAAAGTCAATGATGATGGGCACTTAACCAATATTCCCTTCCCTCAAACTTTTCAAAAAACTGTCTCCACTAATTGGGGAGGGGAGGATATAGTAGTAACAATGTAGCTAATGGATTTATAATAAAATCATCACCCTGCAACTTAAAAATACACCTATCTTTAAAAATCCATGAAAAATATCCTGTATTTTAAAAACTCTGAGTCACATTTTTCTAATTGCAAAGAAATACCAAACAAATATTTAAATAAGATTAATGACAGAATAATGAAAATGAGGACAGTACACTAACCCTTAATGGGAAGTAAATTCATTGCTTGTTCTTTTTATTTTGACCATGAAAAACAGAAAATGTAGGAAGCATTCATTTTGGATTAGTAGCACTCTACATGTGATATGCCTGGAAAAGATGAATTTTGTTAGGAAAATGATAAAATTTTGTTAAATACTTCAATCACATCTGAATGATGCATGAGAAGAATTTCCCTGATAGCAAGTCACAAAAAACTCAGCTCAAGGCAGAAAAATACATAAGGGTTTTTTATTCAATGAATTTGGAGAAGCTAAAAGATATGACAAGAAATAAAATAATCAGGGCTAGTAGGAACCACCTGAGAAGAAAGCATGTATTTGATGCTTCTCTCTCTCATCTTTATTATTTGCTTCATTTCTTCATGTCACTGAAAACAGTCACAGAAAACTGTAAATTCTTAGATTTGTACATTTCTTTCCTCATAAAAAGGTGAATAGATATTCTAGAAAGTCCAAACCAAAGAATGACACTAAATGCCCTCAAAATGAAGTTAAATGATAGAAATTTTAAGGTTCCAAGTGGGAAAACCATGTTCTTATCCTAAGCTTCACCTGGAAGGGATAATGAATGGAGACAAGGAAAGAAAATTCCATGAACTCCTCATGAATATAGGGTGAGATACATATATACTGGACATAGAGATGAGATCAAAAAACAATTATTTTCCAAAACTTTATAATCATTCAAGTAGATGAATAACTATCAATGAGATGCCATATATACACTGAGAGATGCTTTAGGCTTCATTTATGAGTCTGGGGCTTCAATTAATCCATATTCCACTGTTTTCTTTCATCTACCTCTCCCTGACCCTCAAATTCACTGCAAAATTCCCCCATTTCAATTATTTTAAGAATCACTTGGGATGTCTCTTGTGCATAGTATCTAAACACAAATCTAGTAAGCTGTCCAGGTAATAACTGCATGGAGTTGATTATTTATTTCCTCTTCCAGTCTTCTGTTGTTGACTATTGAAAGGTTCACTGGACTTCATTGACTCCTAACAGGTACTGGAGTCTTGCTGAACATCCTCCAAATGCTCCTGTGTAGTCATGAATTACCTTCTTCTGCCAGATGCGAAATAGCTAGGAATCCAGGGCATGAATAGCTGCATGTATATTGTTTCAAAAGGAACATTTCCTAAGAGATATCAAAGTAATATTCCAATGTGCTATACATTTCATTTATTTATTTATTTTTAAGATTTATTTATTTATGCTTATAAGAGCTAGGGTAAAGGCCAGAGATGCAGGGCAGGTGTGTGTGTGTGTGGGGGGGGTTGTGTGTGTGAGAGGATTTACCAGAGATACACTGCTGAGGGGAGCAGCTGGTGCCATGTGGGTTTCTCTCTGGCTGGCTGGGCATCTAACTTGTACTACAGAGGCTGAGGCTGCGGATTGCTTCATAGTGTGGTCATTAACCCCTTGCACCACCAGGTAGACCCCAGATTTTATAAAATAAAACCACTCTTAATTTTTACTTACAGCCTCTTATTCAACACAGTGCACAAACATAAATCTAGATGGCATCTGGCTAGTGAAGAAAATCAAAATGACAGAAATGTGCTTTCCTCAAAAATGACTCTCCCCTTTGCCAAGACTTTTGTTTATTTCAGTGGAGGTGAGTTCACTATTAATTTATTCCTCTTTCCTTTGTAATGATTGTTCTCTCAGATGCATGCTAAGGGCAAATTTCCTCAAAGCACTAGCCTGGACTTGAGTCCAGGTGTTTGGATTTTTAATTTCTCTACGCACTGGTAAAATCAATGGATAGATTATTTAAAAGGATAAACAAACCAAAAAAAAAAAAAAGACATAAAACTTAGTGCAACTAGAGAAAAATGGTTTATCTTGAATTGGACTAGCTCTATTACCCACCCTTTTCAATGTTAGTGGGAGTTCATGTTACTTTATACTATCATTGAAACTTGCGTTGGTCCTGTATCTTCCAAATCTCCAAATGAAGCTATCATTGACTGTCTAAAACAACATTCCATAGCACTCATTTAAGTCATTTTTGTCTCCTGTTGCTCTCTAATTGGGTCATGCATGTCAGTCATCTCTGACGAAATGATGAATCTAGAACAGGCAGGAATCCCCTTTCACATTATTGTGACCCCAAAGAATCTAATATGGGGTTGCACATGGAACAGGGACTCAGTAAATGCTTATTTCCATTCATATCTGGCTTACATGCTGAACCATTCTTTCCTCTTTCCCAAAAATGGACATTGATATCATTAATATAAAAATCAATTTGTATTAGAAATTTCTCAAATCATATTCCCATTTTATTAGCATGTAATTTTGTGAATATGGTAGAAAATCTCTTCCTGTTAATGAATTCTGTTTCAAATGCTCTCATTATAAAACTTTCAAATCTCATTAACTAAACCAGGCATTAAAAATACAAGGGTAATAGAAAGAAATGAGGAGTTGATACAATTAAATTTGAGTAACTTTCCTCTTTTATTGAGGGAAAAATTACTGCCTGAGGAAATGATATCTCAAGTATAGGAAACATACTATAAGGTATAAGGAATACATTTCTTTACATGTTCTAAAAGAGTAAACAATATTCTGTTACCTTCATCTCACTAGGCCACGTTGACATAAGCATTTTATGCTAAATATTTTCAATAGTATAGCAGAATAAAAATATACACTACATAAAGATATACTCTACTAATTCCAACCCTCATGTACACTGGTTCAAACCTTTATTAAACTAGACTTATCAAAAATTTAAATGCCAGTTTATTGTCTGCTATTCACCCTAGACACCTTTGCCACATTTTTCTGGAACTGTAGGAAGGAAACAAATTTCAGAAAGTAGTCTAGATTTCTAAAAAGTCTTGGCTTTGCCATACCTGAATTGCTTCTTTTAATCTGATATTGAATTTCCTGGTGGCAAATGGGAGGGGAAAAAAAGGATGAATAATCAATCATCCATATTTAAATCCATTAGAGAATCATAAAACGTCAGTGCTAGAAGCAATCTTCAGATCATACTAGACCTATCTGCTATGTAACAGAGCAATGGAAACATAGAAGTGGGAGTATTTCCTTAAAATCTGCTGCTAATTGAAGGCAGAATAATCAGTTCTTGACATGCACAGTAATACCATTTCTAACACTCCCTAGCAAGCTGAACATTGAATATAATATTTAATTCCACACTTATCTGTCTCATTTTCCCTATATTCTGAAATAACATTCTGGTAGAACCTGTTCGTGTTCAGCTCTCATTTGTGCTGTGTCAATACCTTGGATTCCTGTAAATAAAGTTTCTGAGTTAAGGAAGGAAACTCAGGTGACCCACTGTCCCTAGACTTAACCTGTCACAAAAATATCTCTGTAATCTTATCAAATCACTATCTCATTGGGTCTAATTTCTTGACACACACACACACAGAGAAAGACAGACAGACAGACATGGGGAAGGGAGTACAGGTTAAGGAATTACTATTCAAAATGTGGCCTTAAGACTAGCAGCACTGAAAACACATTGGCACTATTAGAAATTGAGAATCTCAAGCCCCGTCCCAGTTGACTGAATTGGTATCTGCATTTTAACAAAACATTTAGGTGATTCATGTGTACATTAAAGCTTGAGAAATGTGAAGGGAATTTAAAAAATATTTTTCCTCTTGTTACTTATAATTTAAGCTGTTTAGTAGAGAGATGCTACTACAGTATCAGTTTCTGCCTCTGAGAAATCCTCACTATGGATGATATACAGAGACAAGGGAGGATTTTACAGGGTCCTTCAATTCTTGCCATCTAATTACCATCTCTCCCTCCATGCAGCCATAGCTTTGAAGTATATCTCTCCCTCCCATTCCAGTTCTGTTTCTGCCCATATAATGAAGCACCAGTTTCTGTAAGCTTTGTCTACCAGACCTTAGTCAGCTGGGAAATCCTCTCGTCGGGCCAGCAAAGGACCAATTGCATCATCCCTTTGGAGGACAGCACCCTGGGAAGGTAAGTGACTGGGCAAAGGTCACCTGGCAAATGGTGGGTGGAAATGAAAATTGAAGAAGATGGCTTACCACCTGGCGAGGTCCTGAGACCATTAGAGCACTTTGAGCATAATGCTGCTCCCATCTGCATTATATTTCATGCACATTTCCTGCCCTGCAGCCATTGTTGCCATTGTAATTACAGACTCATATTCAGCTGCCTGGAGAATGCTGATGGTTGTAAAAGAGAACACTTGCCACAGTGGGTGGGAAGGGCTGGGCAAATTGCAAATCTCCTATTGTGTAAGACTGGAAATCTGTGATTTTGGCTGACTCCCCACAGCAAAGAAAGATTTCATATGCACACTGTGCCCCCATCATCCCTTCTTTGGTTAATGTTGTCATAAAAAGGTTAAGCAGAAACAAGCAGGCAGGAGATGCTGCTGATTCAAGTGAAAAGTAAGCAGAAAACCATTTATTTCTGGATTAAGAATAAGAGACTACATTGGTCAAGACTAAAACCTAAAATTAGAAAAATGTTGCCTTATTTGATTTGATGTGGAGCATATTTTGAAAGAGGTTCTGCCCCCAAGACCATCATTAATCTACCTGAAATTAGACCACAGGCAATTCATTCCCGTGAGACAGGAATTATTTGTTATTTTTATTTTTTTCAAATTTTATTTTATTTTTAAAAGTTTTTTTTTTAAAGATTTATTTATTTATACAAGAACTGGAGTATAGGTCAGATGTGTGGGAGGGTGAGAGGATTCACCAGAGACAGAACAGGGAACAGAAAAGGCAGACTGATGGAAATACACTGCTGAGGGGAGCAGTGGGCGAGACAGGAGAGGTCTGCCCCACCATGTGGGTATCTCCGCAGCTAGCAGGGATCAAACCGGTACTGCAGAGGCTGCAGACAGCTTCACAGTGCTGTGCTCAACCACCTGTGCCACCAGGGAGGCCCTATTTTCTATTAAAGATTCTTTTTAAAATTGGTTTTTGTGGGGCCTCCCTGGTGGCGCAAGGGGTTAAGTACCGCACTATGAAGCTATCCGCAGACTCTGTAATATGAGTTCCATCCGTGGCCGGCCGGCCAGGGAGCAATCCACATGGCGAAGCAGACCTCTCCTGTCTTACCCACTGCTCCCCTCAGCAGTGTATTTCAGTCAGTCTACCTGTTCTGCTCACCACTCTGTCTCTGGTGAATCTTCTCATGCCCGGCCAACATCTCTGCATAAATAAATAAATCTTTAAAAAAATTGGTTTTAGTTTGATGCATCTTTTTCTTCTGAGAAAAATTCACATGAATCTGTCACATGGGAAGGCCAACAAATGGCCTAAAGGATAAAATACCTCCTCTCCCACTGGACCAGAAGATCAGTGTCCTTCCCACTGAGCCTGCACAGAGATCTAAATGCCAAAACTTTCTCTACACTGGAAAGCAGGCAACAGATTGGAGGCAATGCGATAACACTTAGAACTCATTCCTGATCCTATGAAACATTAATTTTTCAAAAGTTAAAGCTCTGAAATTTGGGTAATGAGATTAAATACTGCAGTATTTCTCCAATCTCCCTCACTACAATGCCCCAACCAAAATTTTATTAACTCAATGGCCTATTTTTATAATTCATATTAAAATAAATCTGAATTTTTTTCTGTCCCAACATTAATGCCTTGGAGGAAAGAGCTTTTGTTGTTTGCTTGTTTTTTTCTTTTAAGATAAAATTCGACTGACATAAAATGGTTCAGTTACTCTAGAAAAGAGTTTGCAATTTCTTGAAAAGTTAAACATAAACTTACCCAAAATTCCAACAGTTTCATTCTTAGATATCTACCGAAATGAAAACATATGTTTAAACAAAGACCTCATGCTGATACTCAACAGAATTATTTATATTTTCTCAAAATGAAAACAACCCAACTATCCATCAAATGGAGAATGATTAAAAATATTATGGTTCATTTTCCATATAATAGGATACTGTGCAGCAATAAGAAGGAATGAAATAGTCATATGTGTTACCTCAAAAGCATTATGTTAAGTGAAAGAAGTCAAGCACAAAGACCACATACAGTATAGTTTCATTTACCTAAAATGTACAAAAAAAGACAAATCCATATGGAAAGAAAATAAGATTAGTGATTGTCTGGGACTGGGAATGGGAATGAGGATTAAATGTAAATGGGATGGGGAAGTTTATTGCGATGATGAAAACATTCTAAAATTGATTACAGTAGTGGTTGTACAACTTGGTAAATGTACTAAAATTCACAATTGGTGACTTTGTGAGATGTAAATTACATCTCAATAGATACAATTGTTTAAAATATTTCAACTGATAAGGATAGGAAAGCAATGCAGCATTAAATGAGAAGGAAGAAATTAAAGCTTGGAAAGAATTGGAACCACATTTTTTTTTTTAAGTTTTTTTTTAAGGATTTATTTATTTTTATACAAGATCTGGGGTACAGGCCAGAGATGCGGGAGATGTGAGAGGATTCACCAGAGGCAGAGCAGGGAGCAGAACAGGCAGACGACAGAAATACACTGCTGAGGGGAGTAGAGGGCACGACAGGAGATGTGGGAATGTCATGTGGGAATCTGCCATGTCATGTGGGAATCTCCCTGGCCGGCTGGGATCGAACCCACACTGCAGAAGCTATGGACAGCTTCGCAGTGTGGCGCTCAACCCTCTGCGCCACAGGGTAGACTGGAACCACATATTAAGGGATATCACTAACAATGTGTCAAAAGTATTATCTTCTTAGGGAGCTAGAAGAGTCAATAGTACTAGTATTAGTGCAGACATGTGGCAGTGCTAACCAAGACCTAAAACAGGGGAAAGATGCAAAAAGGAATATTCTCTTTTGGTCTCTCAGAGCTGCCAGTCATGCAGCATTTTATTTATTTTTTTGCTTTTAAATCAGTCACTCCCAGCAGAATTAGACCATATTAGTTTTTCTCATTGAATCTCAGGCATGAAATCAGATTTCTTAAAAGTTCTTTGCTCTGTAATGCTCTGCCTCATCTTTTTCTATCATTCCATCATATAGACTATGGGCTTATGCACCTAGAGGCATTTTTTTCACAGAAACAATATAAGTTGGAGCACAGATTGGGAAGGCCCTTGTTTAATTTGAATTCAGACAGGAGAGTATAAATCTCACCCATTAACCACTAATCTGTACTATGTCACTGTAGGGGCAGGACAGGCCACAGTGCAGGTTTTCTGATCCCATGCAGACAGGGTAAAGGAGGAGTCAGAGTCCTCAGTGGGTTTTTTGCAGGTCTTTTATTGGGGTTCACCAGGCATATGGCAGGCAGGGGTGCTGGCAGGCTGGCAGGCCTCCCAGCCCCCAGCAAATGCTCACTCTATCTGGGCTCTCTGGTGATCTCGGCTTCTCTTCGGTTTCTGCTGCTGCTTTCTCGGCTTCTGGCGTCCCTGTGATGCCGCCCTTAAAAGAACAGTCTTAGCGCAGGTGTACCCACTTCAGGTGCCCGCCATCAGGCATGCATTCAGGATCACAGGGTTCCCTCATCTATCCTGATGGCGGGAGGGCAGAAAAGCCTGATACCTTTTACCTTACCCTAGAGTCACTAATTTAAAATCCACATTTAGTGACCAACAGGCATATGAAAAAATGTTCAACATCACTTGTAATCAGGGAAATGCAAATCAAAACTACCATGAGATACCATCTTACACCAGTGAGAATGGCACATATTAAAAAAACTAGCAACAACAAATGTTGGCGAGGGTGTGGAGAAAAAGGAACTCTCCTGCACTGTTGGTGGGAGTGCAAACTGGTCCAACCACTATGGAGAGCTGTGTGGAGATTTCTGGACCTACTAAACATAGAGCTTCCATATGATCCAGCAATTCCACTCCTAGGTATTTACCCAAAGGACACAGAAACATCAATTCCAAAGAGCACCTGCACCCCTATGTTTATAGCAGCATTATTTACAATAGCTAAGCTTTGGAAACAGCCCAGATGCCCAAAAATAGATGACTGGATCAAGAAGATGTGGTACATATATACCATGGAATATTACTCAGCATTTAAAAAAGATAAACACATGCAATTTGCAGCAACATGGATGGCGCTGGAAGGGATCATGCTCAGCGAAATAAGCCAGAAAGAAAAAGAAAAATACCGGATGGTCTCACTCATAGCAGGAATCTAGAAAACTTAAATAAGGGACCAGGAAAATGAATATAAGAAAGTGAAAATCAACAAAAATTATGAACCAGAGACACTTTTTGTGGGGGGAAGGAGGGGAGGGATTGGGGTCAGAATGGAGGGGTTGAAATTGTATGGGGAATATAAAAATAAAATTTATTATTAAAAAAAAAATCCACATTTAGGATTTGGTGTTTTTCATCTAGAAGCAATGGATTTTGAGTCTTCATAAAAAAGAATATCATGATGCATTTTTGCTGTTCAAAGAATGGAGTCAAAATTATGATAAGGGCTTAATTCAAATTATAATTAATATATTACTACTTTATGTCAAAATAATGTAGTTGTGTTTTGTTATTTTTTTCCTTTAAAATGGATTGGAGAGGAAAGATGCCGTCATTATAACTAGAATGAGTAATACTGGTCACTTCTTTTATTGCAGTAGAATAGAGAAAAGTGAGAAGTTGAAGTTGCATAGGGATTTTAAAATGAGTAAGATTTAAACCCATTGGATGTGAGGAAATCTTGTACAATTGATAACAATAATGGTACTATTAGCCAAAACAGAAAAAAAAAAACATGCATGGAAACCAGGTTAGGGAAAAAGATTATAAGTAAAATGTTGACAGATTGAGGTTAAGATAGCCAAGTGGAAACTCTTCGAAATAAGTTTGCTAAATATGTCTAGAAATAAAAGGAGTTACTGGGCTGAAGGCTTACCTTTTAGTTAACAAAATGTAAAAATATAGTTGAACATATGTATGTTAAACATATATCATGTATCTACACAAAGTGGTAGAAAATCAGGAGAGATAGTAAACAGATGTTATG